TCACAAAAACTTCTTCAGTAAAATTCATCAGCAAAAATGATAAAAGATATGGTAAAATATTTAAAATCATTCACTGTAATGGATAATACATGGGACTTCAGTATACAGTCCTTTTATTTATATGTGGTTGATATCTATTGATACATATATTGATTTTATATACTATTATTATATATCTTGATATTTATATATCGATTATGTATAAATATGTAAATATGTACATAAACATATAAATTTATAACAATACATACAATCATTTTAACAGAAATAAATTTATAAAGTATAAGAATGTAAATATAGCAAATATTACAAAAGAAAAAGCAAGTTTCAGCAGATGGCAGTAAATTGCTGGGTCTCCACACGCCTGCACTCCTGACTCCGCTCCAGAGCACAGCAGGGAGCTGGGAGAGGCACCATCAGCCTTCACAAGACCTTCCTAACTCAGTGGCTGGGACCATATCCCCTGCCTCATCTCCATCCCCCATAAAGCCCTATGTTAATCAACGGGTGAAGCAAACACAGGCCTCCCAAAACTGTAAGGAGTCAACGTGTGTATTTACAGCTTGCAAACTCCAAATCGTCACCCTTTCCCCCACGAGCTGCCACTAGTAAGTGACCACTGCTATCCTTCCCAAAGACTGCAGCTCAGGTATGACAGGTACGCATCAGATAGGATTGAAGGCAGATGGGATTCAGGATGCTTCTCTCTATCCTTGTCCGTATCACACAGATGGGCTCCACAGTCACCCTATCTATAACATGGAGCCGCGGAGCAGAGCAAAGGTGGCAGGTAGGTGTCCCCGCACTAGGTCCTTCCTGACACCGTTCTGAAGTGCAGAGAGAGGTTGGGGGTGGGGGGGTGTCTTGGTTGTCCACTGTCCAATTACGTGAACTCTCGAGGTCAACCCAGCCCATCAACCAAAGGGAAGGGTTCAAAAAAAAAAAAAAAAAAGGGAAGGGTTCATGTATGAAGGGAGATGTCGACCGGGGGGATGGGATCCCCCATGGAAGGAGAGCACAGAAGCGTGGGCTGGGGATATGGGGTTTGGCCGTGTCCTGGAGCCACGGCGGAAGCAATGACAGGATCAGGGCTTGTGGGAAACTGGAACATCTAAAGGTGAAAAGATGCTGGGCATCTGGGGCTTCCCTGGTGGCGCAGTGGTTGAGAGTCCGCCTGCCGATGCAGGGGACACGGGTTCGTGCCCCGGTTCGGGAAGATCCCGCGGAGCGGCTGGGCCCGTGAGCCATGGCCGCTGAGCCTGTGTGTCCGGAGCCTGTGCTCTGCAACGGGAGAGGCCACAGCAGTGAGAGGCCTGCGTACCGCAAAAAAAAAAAAAAAAAGATGCTGGGCATCTGAGAGGCTGCGCGGCGTGAGGCTTGGAGTGAGAGGCAAGAAGTCAGCCTAGGTGGCAGAGCGAGAACAGCTGATGCAGGAATTTGCTGTGTGCCCCGCTGCCCCAGCCCGGAGGAGCAGCTGGCTTTAGGGAGGCGGTGAGGAACGGAGGGGAGCCCCGAGCAGGGCGGGGGCCTCCACCAGCTGCGCCCCGGGCAGGACGCACAGGATGCCGTCGGGACCTTGGCGGGAAGAGCCCCCTGCTGCGTGTGGCAGGGCCACCGGCTTCTCCCAGCCCTGATCAACGAGGCTTCTGCGACTGTGCATAATTACCGAAAGCCCTGCTGGGGCCGGCGACGTGAGCAGAAAGCTAATACTGCGTGACTCGAAGCTCTCACGGGAAAGGGGACTGGCTAGAGGTGGCCTTGCTGGTGTGGAATTACCCGGCATAGTCCATACACCCTGACCGCCTCCCGCCAGTGTCAGGTTCCATGCTCCCGGAGGCCTCAGTTGCATCTGGGGGTGGCATGGTAGCATGTGTGTCCTCACGTTTGCTAATGAGGAAACAATCTCGGCCTTTAAGAGAAGTGACGGGGCTCTGCAGGCGAGGGAGGATGGAGAGGAAGAGAAGGAGGCTCACCCTGAGCCCCATAGCTGCCTCAAGCCTCCTGCCGAGCTGCTTCCCTCTCCTTCCAGAAAGTGGGGAAGCCGAGAGCCTCCAAGGATTCTCTGCACAAATCAAAGACCCGCCGACGTGGGAGGCAATGGCTGCCTCGGCTCCTGGCATGGGGTGGGAAGGAGCCTGGGGACCCTGCAGGGGACACATCTTCTTCTTCTCGCCATCCCCCCCTCCAGCCCTTCACCCGCCGGCGGAGGCTGGCTGTAACGCATCCAAACATCAGCAGTTCCCCTCTGGGGCTGCAGGAAATTGCTGTGAGGGACCAGTGCAAACCCATCCTCTCTACTGGGAAAACAAAGTGGGGCCCAAGTGCTGCAGAACTTCCTCATGTGCAAAGGAAAGGACACAGGTTTCATTCACCGAGCGCCTACTCTGTGCCAGGCACTGTTCTAGGCTCTGGAGGAATTAGGAACACTCTGCATTCACAGACTGTCCACAGGAACAGAGAAGACGTGAAACACGTGAACGCAATAACGTGGGGGAGGCCTCGGCCGGGGAAGCACAGGAGCCTCCCTGGGGAATCCACGCTGAGGAGCCGCCATCCAGCAGGGGCTGATCTTTCCTGAGATGCAGCCACACAGAGGGGCGACGAAGAGGCCACACCAAAAAGCAGCACCTCTGCTGCCTTAATTCAGGGGGCAGAGAGGAGCAGACAGCAAACTCTCAGGTGTTTAAGAGGAAAGCTATGCAGTGTTAAGATCCTTAGCTGGCCTCACAGGCTGTACTGGTAAGAAGTCCCCAGCACAACACTTCCCTGGGACTGGTACCCCCAAAGCAAATCTATTTTGTAACTAAACTGTTTTTTGGGTTTTTCTGTTTGGTTTGGCTTTTTGGTTACCAGACTATTCCCTGAAGTAGCTTGTAGGCCTGAAAAATAAACCTACCTGCTGCCCGCCGATTACAACACAGTCCTTTCAACTTAGGCAGCCATGCTATATTCGAAATGTAAAGGAGAACTGCTTTGTAGTACTTTATTTTTAAACAACGGGGTGGGTCAGGGACTTGTACCTAACACCACCTGGGCCGACAGGGGCAGGCTGGGTGGTATCCCCAGGCAGCCTGAGGGCAGCTGGACATACACCTGCTGGGTCCTGCAGATGACCCAGGTGATGAATGCTCCCTCATACTTCTGACTACACGTGGAAGGACCTCTTTTCTTCTGGGACCCACAGACTGCCAAACAAATACAGCTCCTTCTCCACCCTCCAGTGAGTGAGGTTTCCCTGCAGGGGCGCCGTCCCAGAGCCTCTCCCTGAGGGGTGGGATCCCAGAGCTCCCACAGCCCCCTTCAGTTAAGGGCCTACCCCTTCTCCCCGCTGGGCCTTGGGAGAGTTGAAGACAGCATTAAAGTGGACTGGTGTTCACTCAGAATGGTCATCAACAAAAAGTCTACAAATAATAAATGCTAGAGAGGGTGTGGAGAAAAGGGAATCTTCTTACACTGGGAATGTAAATTGGTGCAGCCACTATGGAAAGAGCCTTTAAAAACTAAAAACAGAGCTACCATATGATCCAGCAACCCCACTCCTGGATATATATCCAGGAAAAAAAAGAAAACCCTAATTCAAAAAGATACATGCACCCCAATGTTCATAGCAGCACTATTTACAATAGCCAAGACATGGAAACAAACTAAGTGCCCATCAACAGATGAATGGATAAAGAAGATGTGGTTATATGTATATATATACACACACACACACACACACACACACAATGGAATACTACTCAGCCATAAAAAGAACGAAATAATGCCATTTGTAGCCACATGGATGCAATCAGAGATTATCATACTGAGTGAAGTAAGTCAGAAAGAGAAAGACAAATACCATATGGTATCACTTACATTTGGAATCTAAAATATGACCCAAATGAACCTATTTACAAAACAGATACAGACTCCCAGACATAGAGAACAGACTTGAGGTTGCCAAGGGGAGGAGGGGGAGGGATGGATTGGGAGATTGAAGTTAGCAGATGCAAACTATTATATATAGAATGGATAAACAACAAGGTCCTACTGTTTAGCACAGGGAACTATATTCAATATCTTGTAATAACCTATAATGGAAAATAATCTGAAAATATATATATATATATATACCTAAATCACTTTGCTCTACACATGAAACTAACACAATATTGTAAATCAACTATACTTCAAAAAAAAAAAAAAAAGCTGACGGGTGTTATACCATACTTATAAATCATGTTCTTATAAGGAACGTTCATCCAGCTCTACTTCTGGAGGTCAAAAGTTAATCTTTAATCAGACTAATGCAGAGGCCAAGGCATAAATGTGTGTTTTCTCTCCAGTAGGTCACAGCTATGGGCTGAATGGCTGTATCCCCTTCGAATTCATACGTTGAAACCACACCCCCCAATGTGGTGGTATCAGGAGGTGGGACCTGGAGGGCTAATTAGGGTTGGATAAGGTCATGAGGGTGGGGCCCTCATGAATGGGATTAGTGTTCTTCCAAGAATCATGAGAGATCTTACTTCCCCTCTGCTCTCCACCCTGTGAGGACACAATGAGAAGTCTATAGTCTGAGAGAGATCTCCAGAACCCAACTATGCTGCTCCTATCTCAGACTTCTAGCCTCCACAACTGTGAGAAAATGTGTCTGTTTTTTTATAAGCCACCTGGTCTCTGGTATTTGCTCAGACAGCCCAAACTGACTAAGACACTCATCTTCCTGTACACTTCATTTCCAACATCCGCGTATGAGAGTCAGCTCTGCCCCAGCTACCCATTAGGACACTAGGCTATGGTACCTATTTTCTTACCAACAACAAAGATCGTTGTGTTCCGCCATGAGCAAAACTCACCTGAACTGCATTTCCCCTCAAGCTATTTGTCAGGTAAGAATTCCCCTCAGCAAGAATTTTCCTATCCTTTCCTTTCCTTTAGCCCATGCTGACCTGCAGTATAGCAATTTCTCCCATCTGCAAGTGAGGAAGAAAGGCCTCTCCCCCTAGCAGCCCCTCCCTGCACCCTCCTCGGAAGGGCGGGGGCAGCTCCTTTCCTGAAGGCAGTCCCCAGAGGCAGTTTAATCTATAGCAGACCTTTCATCCAAGAAATTCACCCACATTTCACATCTTTCAGCAGCTTTGGGCTGCGTCATTGCTCAAGAACGTCTTTTCTAAAGCAGGAACACCCCAGGGCACCCCCCAGATTACATATCGCTAGAGGAAGGCAGAAACCATTTTGACCCACAACTTTAATTAATTTCTGTCTCTCCATTGTGCTCTGGGATCAGCTTAAATGCTGCTGAAAGAGATCTCGGGCTCCCCGGACTGCTCCAGCGGGACAGGCCAGGATCTCAGGGAACAAGAAACGGCAAGGAAGAGATGAATAACCAGTGAATGCCCCCTTGAGGATAAATGTTCACAAAACTGTAAAGAAAGGGAGAAAAGAGGCAGGCAGGCTGGCAGGGAGCATCACCAATGTCCACAACCCTGGGTCAGACCAATATACAGCACAGCCACTGCAAAATAAGGAGATCGGGGTGAGCTCAGGGGTCCTCAGGAGCTGATGTGACTGCGCCAGAGGCGCTCTCCTGCCTCACGTGGTATGACTTGTTCTAGCTGTGTCCTCCAGTAAGTGCCTTGCTCAACAGGAGGAAGCAAGGAAGCCCTTAACTAGGTCACTACCCCCTGAGCCAGAGCCCCATGGAAAAGTGACTTAGGAAAAGCTTAGCCCCAAAGGGACTTCCAAAAGTTTCAGGTCCAACACTATTGAGCGGGTGTTTGTAGACATCCACAGACATGCTTCCAGGAGGGCCTTCCCTAGATCACTGAAAGGGGTCAATGACATTCCCATTCTAGAGAAGAAAAGAAGTGGTTGTACCCAGACAACTAGGCAGGGCCAGGAATAACCTGGTGCTCTAGTTCCTCTGCCTGAGAAACAGATCTAGGGCAATGCCTCCTGGCCTGGCCCCTCAGCACATACCCACACCTGCATCCCCACAGGCCAATAAAGGCCCTGCTGCATAGGCTGCAGCCCTCCACAGGGGAAGGGCACTACGTTGTCAGCGTAAGACATTATGGGCTTTGTACACGGTAATTTACACCCATCTATTTTGCATCTGCACTCTACCTTGTTGCAATTTAATTCTTTGTTTCTGATATCCTTCTATACGTCAATCAAAGATGCCTGGTCCTAAAAGTTAGGCACTTTAAATTATACCTACCACCCACCATTCCATCCAAATTAATAAGAGCTTGCATCCTTGAAATGATCTGATATGTAACTGTAGCTTTATCTTTAAAACAACAACAATAATAATAATAATAAATAATAATATTTGAAAGATTGATGACAATCACACTCCCCCGGCAATGCCTGCCATAGAACATGTGCTGTATCCACGTGGAAATAAGACAAGTCAGTGTGAATTAACAGCGCTCGGCAGCAATACCATCCAAGAATGTTCAAGTATCATCACCAAGCAGTTTATCAAAACCACTTACCTCTGCCAGAGAGAGCCGGACAATGCCATTCTGGTCCTTGTTCAGAAGGCTGAACAGTTCTAGAATGACAGAGAACGAATGAAATCAGATGGGGATGTTCCTGGACTTTGGAACAGCCAAAGAGAGCTGTCTCTGTCCACCCCACCTGGCACCTTCCCCCGGCCCCTGCACCCTTCCCAGCTCCCACTCAGCTTCAGGGACCCTGAAAAGCTAGATCTGGATCCAGTGCCCAGGGTGAGGGTTTTAGACAGCAGATGTCCCCTTGCCCAATTAGACAAACCTCCAGATGTGAGCAGAGAAGGTCCTTTTGCCATCTCCACCCGCAGAAGCTCTAGAAACTTGCAATTCTTTCAACAGGGGTTGGCGATGGGGTCGTGGAACAGAGGTGGTTTCCCCATTTGTGGGTAATCCAGTCGCTGACCTTTCCCCATTAGAATTTACCACTTCCCAGCCCTCACTGGAAGGAAAACTCCCTCCCTTAATATGATACCTTAGCATGAGCCCAAGGGGCCACTAGACCATCTAAAGGCTTCCAGAAGGAGACCCCTATTCCCTCCCTGGGAAGTGACACACGCTCTCAGTATGATCCCCATGGAGGCACAGATGTTAAAAGCCATTTAAGGACCGTTGCTGGGACTCATTCATTTGGCCCAATGACTGCATGTAGTAGGTGCACAACAATCTTTCCCGTTGCAGAGCACAGGCTCCGGACGCGCAGGCTCAGCGGCCATGGCTCACGGGCACAGCCGCTCCGCGGCATGTGGGATCTTCCATGGCTCACGGGCACAGCCGCTCCGCGGCATGTGGGATCTTCCCAGACCGGGGCACGAACCCGTGTCCCCTGCATCGGCAGGCGGACTCTCAACCACTGCGCCACCAGGGAAGCCCACAACAATCTTTTTAAATCTCCCAGAGAAGGCAGCACTTTGGGCGTGGCCAGATTGGGCTTCCTCGGCCGCTTTAGTTTCTGCTTCCCCTCCCCCAAGGATGCCACAGTTTCTGAAGCCTGTCTGGTTCTGCTTGCTGGCCCTGCCCCCTGCCCCTCTCCGCACCTCAGGAGAAATGAGATAGGGTTAAAGGAGAGAGTGACTCACTGAAGAGGGTCTCCAGGCAGATCATACAAGCAAGGAAGCTGTCAAAGTCGATGCCAAGTTTGCTGCATGCATACCGCATGGAAATGGTCTGCTGTACCTGGTTGCTAAGGGTGAAACCTACGGGCAGAAGGGGGCCAAGGTTATAGGTGGAGTGGGGGGCTCGGCCCTGTCTACAGCAGAAATCAGGGCTGACTCAGGCCTGACGCTGCCCCCTTCAGAAGATACCAGATGGGTCTAGTCATCCAATCAGTCTCCTTTTAGATAATCCTCAACAGGATAAGCCTCCTCCCTGATCCAAGAATAAGGCCTGTAGCTCCAATACTAACTCAGCTGTGCATCACATTGGCTACAGCAAGAAAAAACAGGGAACGTGAGGGGATGGTCTCTCCTGACCATCCCCTTCACAGCCCCGTCCCCTGTGATTGCTGTCACCTTCCCAGTAACAGGCAAAGTCCTTAGAAAAAGTCTAAAGAATCCAGGAACATTCCCTCCTCCCCAGATAAGGAAGGTGCTGAACAAATATTTGTTGTCACATTGACATCCAACATAAGGTAATTGCCACTGATGGTCATTAGCAACCATCATATTAAGAGTTTAAAATGAGCACATCTTGGGACTTCCCTGGTGGTCCAGTGGTTAAGAATCCACCTTCCAATGCAGAGGACGCAGGTTCGATCCCTGGTTGGGGAACTAAGATCCCACATGCCATGGGGCAACTAAGCCCATGTTCTGCAACTGCTAAGCTCTCACACCACAACTACAGAGCCCGCGTGCTGCAACTACAGAGCCCACACACCACAGCAAAAGATCCCACATGCCGCAACCAAGACCCGACACGGTCAAAAATAAAGGAGGAAAAAAAAAAAAATAAAAAAATAAAGGAGGAGCTTCAAGATGGCAGAAGAGTAAGACTTGGAGATCACCTTCCTCTCCACAAATACATCAGAAATACATCTACATGTGGCACAACTCCTACAGGACACCTACAGAACGCTGGCAGAAGACCTCAGACCTCCCAAAAGGCAAGGAACTCCCCACGTACCTGGGTAGGGCAAACGAAAACAAAAAACAGAGACAAAAGGATAGGGACGGGACCTGCGCCAGTGGGAGGGAGCTGTGAAGGAGGAAAGGTTTCCACACACTAGAAGCCCCTTCGCGGGCGGAGACTGAGGGTGGCGAAGGGGGAAGCTTCGGAGCTGCGGAGGAGAGCACAGCAACAGGGGTGCGGAGGGCAAAGCGGCGAGATTCCCGCACAGAGGATCAGGGCCGACCGGCACTCACCAGGCCGAGAGGCTTGTCTGGTCCCCCGCCCGCGTGGGCGGCGCTGGGAGCTGAGGCTCGGGCTTCGGTCGGAGCTCACAGAGAGGACTGGGGTTGGCGGCGTGAACACAGCCTGAAGGGGCTAGTGCACCACAGCTAGCCGGGAGGGAGTCCGGGAAAAGTCTGGAGCTGCCGAAGAGACTTTTTCTTCCTGCTTTGTTTCCTGGTGCGCGAGGAGAGGGGATTAAAGCGCTGCTTAAAGGAGCTCCAGAGACGTGCGTGAGCCGCGGCTAAAAGCGCGGACCCCAGAGACGGGCATGAGACGCTAAGGCCGCCGCTGCTGCCACCAAGAAGCCTGTGTACAAGCACAGATCACTGTCCACACCCCCCTTCCGGGGAGACTGTGCAGCCCGCCACCGCCAGGGTCCCGGGATCCAGGAACAACTTTCCCGGGAGAACGCACGGCGCGCCTCAGGCTGGTGCAACGTCACGCCGGCCTCTGCCGCGCAGGCTCGCCCCGCACTCCGTGCCCCTCCCTCCCCCCCCCGCCCCGACCTGAGCCGGAGTCCTCAAATCAGCGGCTCCTTTAACCCCGTCCTGTCTGAGAGAAGAACAGATGCCCTCCGGCGACCTACACGCAGAGGCGGGAACAAATCCAAAGCTGAGC